CCCACCGACGGCCTTCCACGTTGCGCTGCGGCCCGCTGGGAGACCGCAGCGCGCACCGCGCAGAAAACCACGCCGGATGTGTCCTAGCGTACGCTCAACCCCCTGGGGCCGCAGGTGGAGTGGTGCCGTTCGCTTGCTTGTCCAACATGGCCCGCTATCTTGGCAGATCGGAAGGGGGCAATCTTCTCCGAACTCATGGCGTCGCTCGCGCTACCACCATTCGTTGGCGGGCTGCCCCGATCCCGCGGAGCGGGCCTCGCGCATGCGGATGGCAGTGTCTGGGCGTCAGCGCCGGAGCGTCAAGCCCAACTGGGAGTTCCCAGTGGCCAGAGAGCTCGATGGTGGCTGGGCTCAGGAACAGGGTGAAGACTGGCAAGCCGGAGGACGCCGCTCCGTGGGCTGCCACCTCGGTGGCCTCTTTCTTCCTGTTGAGGGCGTCGGAGTACCTGGGCGGACCCCAAGAAACCTTGGGCCCAGGAGCGTGTTCTTCTCGGGGGCGACGTCGCCCCACGGGCGGCGGGTGGGGCGCGCCAGTCTTGCGAGGGATCAAAAGAGGGGATCATCGCTGCTATCCAACAGAACGAGGCCAAACAGTGCAACTTCGAATGCTGCCGACACCATGTGCTCGACCCAGAACGACCTGTGCCCCATGTGCGCCCTGGCGGAGTTGCAGCGGTTCGGCCCCCAGCGGCGGGCCTCGGAGAGCCGATCCGTCGGAAGGATGTAACGGACCATTTCGGCAAGGTGGCCATGGAGGATGGAGTGCGCCCCCCGCGCGTCGGGACTGTCCGGATCGGGGGCGCCGCCGCCGCGTGCTGCGTGGTACGCAGGTCCAGGCATGGAGAATTCCAAGTGGTTTGACAGGTGGGCCTCTATCGTTTTCCACGTCTTCTTGTGGGAGGTGCACGATCCCCAGAAGGGGTTAGCGGAAACAGTGGCGGCCCAGAGGTGCCAGCTGATCACCGAGAGCACAAACAGGATGGGAAAAGGCAGCCACGGTGGGGGGAACTTGGGCCCCCCCGGTGTAGAGAGGACGACGCACGGCACGGCGCTTGCCGCGCGAGTCGGAGACGGTGCGTCTTTTGGTAGGAAGTCGGCCTGGTCAGGGAACGGTGCGCGGAGCTTTCTTGCAGCGCCAGAAGGAGCGCGAACTAGCCGCCCCGGGCCGACACCCAAATGTTTTGGTGGTGCTCAGTTCGGTGGGAGCAAAGGGTGCTCCTTAGGGAGGCGTGCAGGGCGCCGGGAAAGTAGCGCGTGCTGAATTCTCGCGCGCCGCAGAAAGAGTAGAGGTCACCTCGCCACTCCCTAATCCTTAGAGGTTCAGTGCCCATCACTTGCACAGTTTGTTTGTGTTCGCAGCTTGCTTTGAAGAGTTTGGTTGTCATTCTCCCCCCCTCTCCCTTTCACTGCAGCCGTCTGGCTCAGTTTCGTCTCTCTTCCCACCCACCCTACATACTTGCACGCGCGGTGCATTCCCCCAAAAGTGTAGGCAACGTGTGCCGCGCGTGCTCAACTCTCGCGTGCCACGGAAAAAGTAGAGGCCACCTCCCACCTCAGCAATCAATCTAAAATTTTCAGGCCCAACCTAGAATTTAGGCGTTGTAACGGACGCAGTGAATAGGACAGCCTGGCCCATTCAGATTGTGGGCACCCAAGGAGCTGGCTGATACATTACCACCAGGCCATTTCAGGGCCAGATCTTGGCGCATATGGCATCCCTGCCTGGGGGGAGCCTGCGTGCACTAAAATCAGGCCCAGAGTGAGATTGGTTTCGCTTGGTGGTGGTGTATCTGCCGCTCTTTACCTACGTTGGAGACTGGCCGGCAGGGAGAGGAATTGGGCCTGGGCGTCGGAGTCGTACGAGAAGTCCAAGTACAGCTTCGCGCAGTGGCTGAACGTGGTTGGGCTTTGAGCCGCCGGGGCAAGTCATAGGATGTCGTCTGAGAGGCTGGCGCGCGGGTGCGATGGCATTCGAAAGCGGTAGCTATGTACCACCGCTATTCTTGGCCAATGCCGTTTTTGGGCCCTGGGATGTTGTACACATACCCCCGGTCTCGACCAGGACGGTCTATACACCATCGTTGGGCCCAGAAGGGCCTTGTCCAGGGATGGTGGTGGTGTGTTGCTGCTCCCGCCTGTGGATGGTAGGGGCTGAGCAGGACTTTCCATCTTTGCTTATCCTGACTCATCTTCCTGCTCCCCCTCGAGGGGGGGAAGGAAGGAGGGCAGAATGAGAGCAAGCAGAAAAATACGTCGCTCCCTGCTCGAGCATCCGCACGACGCCAGCTTGTCTAAGAACTCAGGTTCTGCTTGGAGGGAGCAGCTGGCAGCCGGCGCAGACTGCGTGGCCGAGACATCTTTCGGCCACGTGTTTAGCAGCCCCCCGCGGGGGCGGCAGTGTGCCGTCCACTGCTTCCGAGCGTGTTAGTTGCACTTTGTAGGCAGTGGGAGTGTTTTTTTTCACATCGGCCGTGACAGCGCGCGAGGCGTGGGCGGCGGGCACGACGAGAAAACAAATGCTCGAATCGCTTTGCCTCACCGCCCGCTCAGAACCTTCTGGTGGGACATTGCGAGAGGGCCAAAGACAGCCGATAGACTAGCCCAAGACAGCCCTGGAGAGACAGAGATTAGCACAGCAGGAGGCGGAAAAGACGGCCCAAGATTGCATGAGCGCACGGCCATCAACCAGAACCGAGGCGGTTTCGAGACGGCCTTCGACGGTTATGGCGACCATTGAGAAAGTACTGCTAGTATTTGTTAGGTTCATTCAGGATGCAGTTTTGGGGGCTCTTATGGGCCTCACTTTTGGACCTCGTGGGCCCTCGTGTGGGTCCTCGTGGACCCTCTCGGGAGGCTTCACAGAGGGCAATATTGAAGGTGTCCCTGTGCGAAGAGTGAAGAAGCCAATGTCCTTGCAACACTGAGCTGTGCTTCAATGATTTTGACAGATCTGGGATGCTCTGCGAAGCCGTCTTGGGGCACTTGGAACAATCTGGACCATCGTTCGCCCTCGGCAAATCGTTCAAGGTTGAACGATCCGCGCTGTGTCAGAAACCAACGCCGAAGTCGGCACGACACGAACCTGCCGTGTACACCATCCCAGGGCCCAGGATGGCATTGGCCATGCACGGTGGTGGTGCATTAATGCCTTTGCGTATCGGTATCTTTTGTCCTCCTAGCCTTGCCGCAGCCGTTTGGCTCCACCGGCCGCGGCCGCGGCCTTCGCCTTCCTCTCCTCGCCTCCCCCTCCCCTCCTTTGCCGGGCCTCGCATGCGTCCTCCCCTTCCCGATGATCCTCAGGACGTGTGTTCGCCCAAGCATGCGTGTTACCTTCTACTCCTCCTCCTCCTCCTCCTCCTTCCCTCCTGCCTCCTCCTCCTGCCTCCGCCTCCTCCTCCTCCTCCTCCTCCTCCTCCTCGTCCTCCTCCTCCTCCTTTTCCTCCTCCTCCTCCCTGTGTCGGCCCTCGTTACGCCGCCTGCGTCGTGTTGAAGGCCCTCGGTGGACAGGCACACGTTGGCTCTAAGCCACGCTCCTGGGACCACCGACCTTCCCGCCACCGGGTGGCCACGGACCTCCCGCGCGGCCGACGCTCCGCCCCAGCCCACGTCCGCGACGGCGGCCCGCTCGCCCCATGCTTTAAGGAATTACGTATCGGCCTCATTCCGACGCTGGCCCCCCTTCCTTGCTTCGCTCCTCCCTCCTCCTCCTCCTCCTCCTCCTCCTCCTCCCTTTCCTCCTCCCTTTCCTCCTCCCTTTCCTTCTCCTCCTCCTCCTCCTCCTCCTCATCATCATCATCATCATTACCATTACCATCACCATCACCATCACCATCACCACATCATCCCCATTACCATCATCACCAACAACAACATCATCACCACCACCATCCCCATCCCCATCCCCATCACCACCACCATCACCATCACCATCATCAGCAGCATCAGCATCAGCATTATCATCACCATCAACATCCCCATCACCATCATCATCACCATCATCACCATCATCACCATCACCATCACCAGCATCATCAGCAGCATCATCAACATCATAATCATCGTCACCATCATCATCTTCATCAGCAGCATTTCTATTTCTATTATTTCATCCGTATTATTTGGTTTCGTAGTATGATTATTATTGTTATTAGTAGCACTTCCATTATTATTATTATTGGTATGATTGTTATTCGTAGTAGTAGTAGTAGTAGTAGTAGTCGTAGTAGTAGTAGTAGTAGTAGTAGTAGTCGTAGTCGTAGTCGTAGTAGTAGTCGTAGTAGTAGTCGTAGTAGTAGTCGTAGTAGTAGTAGTAGTAGTAGTAGTAGTAGTAGTAGTAGTAGTAGTAGTAGTAGTAGTAGTAGTAGTAGTAGTAGTCGTAGTCGTAGTCGTAGTAGTAGTAGTAGTAGTAGTAGTAGTAGTAGTAGTAGTAGTAGTAGTAGTAGTAGTAGTAGTAGTAGTAGTAGTAGTAGTAGTAGTAGTAGTAGTAGTAGTAGTAGTAGTAGTAGTAGTAGTAGTTGTAGTAGTAGTAGTAGTAGTAGTAGTAGTAGTAGTAGTAGTAGTAGTAGTAGTAGTATTGTTAGTATTGCCATCATTAGTAGTATCATTATTATTGGTTGTGATATTGTTAGCATCAGTATTATTGTCATCGTTCTTCTTATTTTTATTACCATTATAATTATTATCATTATTATCATCACCGCCATTATCATCAGCAGCATCACCAGCAGCAGCATCCTTTTCACCATCACCACCATCATCACCATCAGCAGCAGCATCATCAGCATCAGCAGCCTCATAATCCTCTGCTTCCCCCTCCCCATCCCGCTCCGCATTCCCCTCCCCGCCCCCCTCCCCATCCCTCTCCCCACTCCCCCCCCCTCCTCCCGCCCTCCCCCCTCTTCCGCCCACGCCACTCTGGAGCCCGATGACGTCGCTCGACTTCTCGGCGCTGCTGCGCGAGGAGCGCGCCAGGAGGCGCGAGCAGGCGCGCGCCGAGGCGGCCGCCGCCGAGGCGCGGGAGGGCGCGGAGTGGGCCCCGCTGGCCGAGCGCGTGCCACTGGAGCTCGAGGTCCACCGCCAGAATCTACGTGCGCATGCATCCCCAGACCTCCTCGAGCCAGGACGGAAATCTCGTCGGAGTTTTTTTGGCCTTCGATGGTTTCGGCCTCTGGAGGCCTTGGCCTGGCCTCGGGGCCCTCCAGAAACGGCTCGGAGGGAAAACCCGGTCCCGGGGAAGGGGTCGAGGTTTGTGGGGGGGTCGACGTCTTGAGCAAAATCATGACGTCGGGGGTCTGGGTTCCACGGCTGGGAGTCGTGCCGCAGTGTCAGATCTAGGGCCCTTCCGAGCAGTGGTGAATGTGGGCGTTTGCCCACTCCTGAGGGCGGAAGCGTAACAGTGGAGACACATGCCAAGAAACACCCTGCTTGCCTCCAGGGTGCCCTGGTTTTCTTGGGTTTCGATGGTTGTGCCATCGAGGGGGGGCTTTCCGCACCAAAAATCAATGGACGTCCTGGTGTCTCAGGGTCGGGTTTCTCGTGGAAGGTTTCTTGTGGACTGGCCTCCACTGCATCTGATCCAGGGCCCTTCCGAGCAGTGGTGAATGTGGGCGTCTGCCCGCTCCTGAGGGCAGGAGCGTATCCCATGTCCACCGTTCCCGACGGGATCTGGGGCAGAGCTCCAACGCCGCTGCGGACGTGGGCGTCTCTGGCGGTGCACGAGGGCCACCGGGTGGGTGCGGAGTTGGGGCTGGAGAGTTGCTTCTACGTGCCGGACTTTCTCTCCGAGGAGGAGGCGCTCAGGGGCAACGACAGGGGGGGATGGGCTCAGGTGGGGAAGCATCGACCTGTTATCGGCGATACATCGCCGATCGATCGGCGATAGGCCCCCGATGGCGAATCCACACGCTCCTGGGCTGGGTGGGCTATCAGGCCTTTCTCGACGATGCATCGCCGACTCCAGCTCGACGTTCCCCCCCCCCGAGCTTGTCGCCCTGCCTCCAGCAACCTCCGCCGGGAGGGCCGAACCCCGCCCGTCCCGCCCAGGAAAGTGTGGACGTCGTTGTGTGGAGCCTATCGCCGACGCATCGGCGATGAGTCGCCGATTCCAGCTCGACGTTTCCCCCCTGAGCCTGTCCTGATGGTCCAGTTTTCCACCACCGCTTCCATAGGTCGGACGGGGGAGAAGGGAGGTTCCGCCTCCTCCTCCTCCTCCTCCTCCTCCGTTCATACCGACTACCAGCCGCTGGTTGACGGTTTGCGCAAGGGCCGTCGTTGGTGCATTGGCGCTCGACGTGACAACGTGGACCTAGGGAAGCAGTTGCCCCCCCGTATCAATGACCATGGAGGCGCCAGTTGTTCAGGAGAGGGACCCCCCATCGTCTTCAAGTGCGTCAAAGGGCATCGGAAGGATGACTGCTGGGAGAAGCGCTGCAATGACTTGGCGGACCAGGCTGCCAAGCGAGGGCGCGGACTTCACGACGTGCCGAAGTCAGTGGTCGAGCGCTGCTCCCTCGCGCTGCTCAGGCCGAGGCAGGTGGCGGCCTGGATCGGCAGTGCGTCGAAGCTGCAGCTCCAGAGCGACGTGCCCGCGGACCGCGCCAGGCCCCCGCGGAGGCGCAACGCCGAGCTGCGGCGCGCCCGGGATGCTCGCGGGGCTGGGGCAGCCCCGCGGGGTCCGCCGCAGGAGACCTGGCGCCGCCGCCGCCGTGGCCGCCGCGGGCCCCCGTGGCGCATCCGCATCGTGCGAGGAGGACGGGGGAAAGGTCTGCCTGTGAGCGCCGTAGGGCTTTCGCCTTGGCCGCCCGAGGCGCGAGGGCCCTCGGGCTCCGAGAGCGTCGCGCTGCCGAGGCGGCGGACCTCTGGGGCCTCGAGGGGGCGTTGCCCAGCGCTGCGGGCCCCGAGGGCTCGGCGTTTTCCTGCGGGGAGGGGCCTTTGGAGCCGTCTTGTGGGGCTGGGCCCTCTGGAGGCGCGCGCATCGAGGGCCCCCGAGGCCACGGGTGTCTCGGAGGAGTCTAGGGAGCCGCCGCCCTCGGAGCTGAGGGTACTTGAGCGGTCTCTGGCCCTTACGAGGGTGCGAGTTCAGATTGATGAGGGTAAGAGGGACGAGGGCGTCGGGGAGGCCTGCAGGCAGGCCAAGGTGCCGAGGTCGTCTGCTGAGCAGGCTGCGGCGCGTGTGCAGCTGACGCCAGCCACCCCCCCACCCACCCCTCGCCCTCGTCCGTCCCCCCCGCATGCTCGAAGGAAGAGGATGGTCGCATGGGGGCCTCAGACCCTTGAGGGCCCGCGCCTGAAAGCGCCTCGGCTGGCCCCCGTGCTTCTGGGCGGGACTGGTGGGCCCCCTGCCCCCAGCCGCGCAGATGGGCCTCCGCCCAGCCAGCGCGCTCACCTCCTCCTCCTCCTCCTCCTCCTCCTCCTCCTCCTCCTCCTCCTCCTCCTCGTCCTCGTCCTCGTCCTCCTCCTCCTCGTCCTCCTCCTCCTCGTCCTCCTCCTCCTCCTCCTCCTCCTCCTCCTCCTCCTCCTCCTCCTCCTCCTCCTCCTCGTCCTCCTCCTCCTCCTCCTCCTCCTCCTTCTCCTCCTCCTCCTGCTCTTCTTCCTCCTCCCTCTCTTACCTATGGTAGTGGTGGTGGAAAATCGGATCATGTCCGCTCCTTGTCGTTGCCCAGCAGGCGTCGGCGCTGGAGGCGCGGGCGCTGCGCCCGGGGGCCGAGCACGCGGCCGGCCACCGCCCGGGCGCAGGCTGGACCTCGTTGCCCGGCAGGCGGCTTCTCTGTTTGGGCGGCGTGCCGAGCAGCGCCGGGGCCTCGGCCTCCCCCCCGCTTGGGCAGCCTCCTCCGCCGCCGCCGCCGCCGTCTCCTCCTCCTCTTCCTCCTCCTCTTCCTCCTGCTCCTCTTGCTCCTCCTGCTCTTCCTCCTTCTCCTCCTGTTCCTCCTCCTCCTGCTCCTCCTCCTCCTCCTGCTCCTGCTCCTCCTGCTCCTCCTGCTCCTCCTCCTCCTGCTCCTCCTCCTCCTCTTCCTCCTCCTCCGCCTCCTCCTCCCTCCTCCTCCTCGCCCCTTGTCGCTGTCTCCCTGGGCTCGCAGCGGACTCTACCTCTGCCCAGGATCGCCCAAGAGGAGAAGCGAGCGGACACGACGACACTCGTCCACAGCAGGGGTCGACCTGAACGGTGTTTGGGCGATTTCGTGGGTCGTTTTCGTTTCGACTCCGTTTTGCGGCCAAGGCGGATTGGAGACTGAACGAGGGAAAATGGGCACAACGGGAAAACGAAAAACAATGTCTATGTCGATAAATGCCAGATCGCCAAGGATGGAAAGCGATCGGGGCCGACGACCCTCGTCCACGGTCGCCCCCCCAAGATCCGAGCGTGCCGACCTTTGGGGACGAGCAGGCAATGACATAGACACGAACTCTTTCTCGGCGGCGAGCGAGGGGAGGAAGTGAGAAGGAGAAACCTTTTTCAGAAGACGGCGGGACTTATCAGAAACCTTCGCGCCTTCTGAGAGGTTTTCTGTGTCTTCGGGGAAGGCTTAAACAAGTTTTCAGAAGGCCAGAGGACTTCCGAGCCCTCTGAGAAGGCCCGCCCCTTCTTATTTCCCCCCGGGCTCGCCGCCAACTTTCGGAGATCCGCGCGAATTTCTCGGATTGGCGCCAGAGCCGCATGGCAGTGCCTCTGGTGCCGCGGTGCCGCCTCTGGCGCGCTCCCCGCGCCAGGGAGGGGGTCCAGAGCGCCGATCCAAGGAATCCGCGCGGACCTCCGAAGGTTCACGCTTATCATCCGTAAGGGCTTCGCCCCCATGCCGCCAGCCCCCCTTTCTTAGAATGGGACTTGCCAGAGCTGTGTTGGGATGTCTGCACGCTGACGTGAAGCAATGTCGGGACTCCACGCGAGGGCTAAGATCAATTTACGAGGGGTTATGGCTTCGGAGGCGCGAACATTAGGTGATTTACGATGGTTTATGGCTTCTGGGTTCTGGGACGCGAGCATTGTACAATTTACTAGGGTTTGTGGCCTCGGGGTCGCAAATATTGTATATTTTCCCAGGGTTTATGGCCCTGGGGAAGCGAATCTTGCATAACTTACAAAGGTTTATGGCCTGGGGAACGCGAAGATGCCGTAATTTGCTAGGGCTTGTGGCCTCGGGAACGCCAGCATGGTGTAATATACGAGGGTTTGTGGCATAATTGGTACACTTCTTTATAATTTGGAAAGGATGATAGTTTCGGGGGCGCGAATATTTTGTAATTTACACGGGTTAATACTTTCGGGGGCGCGACTATTGTGTCATTGATTTGGGTTTCTGGTTTCGGGGGCGCGAACATTTTGTAATTTACATGGGATTCTGGCTTCGGGGACGCGAATATTCGGTAATTTACATGGTATGTGGCCTCGGGGACGCGAATATGATGCAATTTATTAAGATTATGGCTTCGGGGCCGCGAATATTCCCGACCTAGGCTCTGCCTAGAAGGGTTCTTACTCTCTGGGCTTAAAGGGGCCGGGCAGTGGAAAGCGCCCCGGGCGGTTCCCCCAGTATCCGCCCCGCGGTTCCCCCAGTTACGTCCCTTCAGCTTAGCGTTGCTTATCTCATCTTAGCATAGCATAGCATTGCGCAGCATCGCATAGCATAGCTTAGCATAGCACAGCGCAGCATGACATAATATAGCTTAGCATATTATAGCATAGCATAGCGCAGCTTAGCATAGCATAGCATATCATAGCATAGCTTAGCATATCATAACACAGCGCAGCATGGCACATCATAGCTTAGTACAGCATAGCGTAGCATAGCATAGCATAGCATAGCGCAGCATAGCATGGCATAGCACAGCATAGCATGGCATATCATAGCATAGCATATCATATCATAGCATAGCGCAGCATAGCATGGCATAGCATATCAAATCATATCATAGCAACTAATGCTGGTTTCCTAGGGGGTCCAACTTCTAGGTCGGGTCGCACTGGGGTAATTATGTATTTTTTCGCGCCCCACGCTCCATTCAGACAACGTGATTCGGGCACGATAGCCAGGACGCTTTTCGGCTCCCCCCCTCGCGCGTTCAGCAACAATTAACAGTAAGGGAGCATGAAGCAGGACTGTAACAGTGGAAACTGGAAACTGCAACTGGCACAGGGAACTGCAAGCCTAATCTTCGCAGCCTGGTGGCCCCACGAGGGGGCTGGCGGATCTTGTTTTTGCCACGGTTTGCTCCTCGAGACCCGAGGCGGGGATGTTCGCGGAGCCTCTGCCGCCGTTCGCCGCCGAGCTCGTCCAGGCCCCCGCCCCCCGCGACGACGACGACGGCAACGATTGCAAGCAACGGCTACGAATTGCCACGAATCAGCAGCAATGGGATGCATGAGAAGAGAAATTTGTTGCCCACCACACCGATTTCGCCCGCGTCGGACCAGGCCCCGGCCCGCGCGCCGCGCCCTTGCACTTGGCATTTCGCTCGGACGTGCGTGTTTTTTCTCTCGGCGAGGCCCCTCGAGGAGCACCTCGGCGCACCCTGGGAAAAATCTGCGCACGAAGCCGAGACGTGCACGGGGAAAGGGGCGCCCGATCGATGGCCAGTGCAGGGCCGTCCCCCCAGTCGGGACGCACGCCGGCGCCTCGCCTCGCCCCCTGCAGGGCCGTGCGACGGGCCGCGCGCCCGTGCGCGCAGGTCGGTGCCCGCCTCCCCCCTCATCCTCCCTCGCTCGCCTCCCCTCCCTGCCTCTTTGCCTCTTTGCCCTGCCCTCGCCGCTCGCGCATCCCAGCAGCCCCTCGGACTGGTCCAGCTTTTGAAGGCTGCTTGGGGCTTGCCTTGGTCCAACGGCCGCCGTGGATTTGGATGGACCTTGCGTGCTCAAGTTCCCCCCCCCCCCCCCCATTCGGAGGTTGCCAGAGGTGATCTTGATCCAAGGTGGCCCTGGCTTTGCACCCCTTTTTGGGCCCCGTGTGGTCCTCTAGGGCTCATGGGCGGTGCTCTGGAATCGGTGTCATCCCAACATACGAATACAGTCGGGGCCCTGAAGAAGGAACCCTTTTCGTTGGGGAGGGGCTCCGCGTTCCTTAAGTGTTTGCAGCTTGCCTCAGGTTTTCCTTATGTTTTCGATCGGAAATCGAAGCTTGGAAAAAAAGGGGCCTCGCTCCTTATTTAGGGTTCCTTAGGTCAAGGCCCCGACTGTACTATGTGTGCGTCGCCCCTCTGGGGGCGACGCGCGCGCGCCAGGACATCGTACGGTACAAGCTCCGTGGCGGGCGCTTTCTGGCCATACCGTTCGGGAAACGACATGCTACACTATGTTTGCACTGATACTCTCGGGTCCCACGCACGGCTTCAAGGAGGACACATGGTACTAGTATGTCTTTTGGCGTCCCATGGAGATCATCCGTTGGGGTCATGTCGATGTGCACACGTTGTTCTGTAGATCCCAGCGACGGAAGTTGGGGAGCTATTGTCGAACTTCCCGAAGTTTGGTCTGCTTTGGAAGGTGATTTAAAGATCCTCCCGCACTGAGGGCGAGCTACACGTCTCATCCGCCGCTCGGCGCGGGGCACCGCACCGCTGTGGCTTGCCGCTCTCCCTGGACAAGGGCCAGCCTTCTTGGCCGATCGGGGCGCGAGCCGAGCCGATGGAGGTCAGGTGGAGTGAAGGCTGGAACCGACCCACGGGGGGGCAGGGCCACCTCCAGCAGGGCCACCTCCGGGGGTTCCCCCCCTGGCCCTCCAGGGGTCCTCGGCGGCCTGGCGGCGGCCCGTGGCGTCATGTTAGAGCAGGGGCCGCTCTGCGAGGGGCCGCAAGATCTCGACTCGTTTGCTGTCTCGATCGGAAGGCATGCCGCGGTGGCCCATCGTTGAGGCGCCGCAGCTGCCGAGCGACCCCCCTTGCCTTTTTTTGGGGGGGGGGACTCGCCCAAAGAAGTCTGGAGTGATCGTGCTCTGACCGATGGCTCTGGATATCACAATGATGTCCCAGAGCTGCGTCGGTGTGGCTGGTCAGCCGTCATGTTGAGCGCCAATAGAGTCCCCGAACGCGCTGTGTATGGCGGGCTCGCAGGCGCACAGCTGACAGTTGGACGGGCCCAAAGGCTGGCTGGGTTGAGGGCGCTACAGCATATGCCCTCGGTCAAGTTGCCAGTCAGTGATTTGCTCGGTTTTGTTCAGGAAAGGGAGCTCTTGCGTGACGGGGAGGTCGGAAAAGTCACCAGTGCCACTGCTCCCTACCCAGGTGTGTGGAGATAGCTCGTGAGGCTGAAGCACGAGCCGTCACAGTTCGCCTGGGTCCCTGCCAACATGACAGAGGAGGAGGTTCTCTTTCCTGCCCCTGAGGACCCTCCGCCCCCTCCCCACCTCTGGCTCGTGGGAAATATGCGGGCGATTTTTGTTCGCCAAGCTGGGGGCCTTGTCGATCAAGGTCCCCGAAGGGCATTCGAGATTCTACAAAGAGAGTCTCACCGCGGCCGCCCAGTATGCCAAGTATTTAGGCTGGGCGGTCCAGCGGAGCTGCCAGCTGGAGCTTTGGGCCGAAGCCGCGGAGCTCACAGCTGGCGAACAGAGGGCGAAGCCCGCAGACTGCAAAACAAGCTTGCTCCTCCACGAGCATGACCATGTGGAGGTTGGAGGGCGTCTGATCTGCAGGAAGTGCAGGGGATCGGCCCGAACACCCGAGGCTCGTCGACAGTTAGCGGGGGGTACCGACCAAAAAGATGCCGCCCGGCTGCCGCCGTCAACCGCCTGTTGGGGGCGTCGGTGGGGTCTGCGGGTGTTGGGCTGTCTTGGGTTGGGGCGTCTGGCGTGGGGGCGGGGGGGTCGTCTGTGGACGGGGCCTCGCCTGGCCTGGGCCCTGTGGGGTCGTCTGGGAAGGGGCCTGTGCCTGCCCGTGAGGGCGAGGCTGGGGCCCCTGGCGGTGCGGCCTTGGGCTCTGGGGTGCCTGGGGCGGGGCCGCCTAGGTTCACCGCACCTTGGGGGCACGACGTTACCGCCACGGGTGCCGTCGTCTGGCGCCGGCGGTGCGGGGCCTACGGGTCCGCCAGGGTAGGGAAGACGTTTGGGGCCACTTGCCCTGCCCCCAAGACTTGGCCCCTAGCAGGCGGAGGGCCCTTTGCCGCTTGCTGGGGGGCAAGCACCCACGGTCTGGCAGGACCCTGGAAACGGGGTCACCGACTGGGCTTTATTTCCTCGTACTAACCATTCGAGTTGTGTCTGTGAGCAGGCGTTGCCTCCTTAGCTCGTTCCTCGTTCCTCGTCCCTCCGCCTCCGCAGCGTCCTCCTGCTCCTCCTCCTCCTCCTCCTGCTCCTCCTCCTCCTCCTGCTCCACCTTTTCCTCCTCCTCCTCCTCCTCCTCCTCCTCTCACTTCTTAGAAGGGGCCTCCTGCCTTCCTTCGGAGGGCGTCAGCTGTACACCTACACCGGATGCACGCCGGACCGATTGTGGCCCAGGGTCAGCTTGGCCAGGTCAGTGCGGGTGCACGGGTGACGCCCTCCTGTCCTCACGGTTGGCGCTGCAAAGATAGCCTGGTGCGGCGCCGCCGACCCGCTCACGGTCGGACCGAGGTAAACGACCGAGGTCGGCTCGGGGAGGGTCCCCCAGTGTTTTTCGTTTTTGTTACATGTGTGTTGTGCATCCTGGGGAAGGGTCCCCTAGACTGTTCTTCAGCTTGGCCGTCGGAGGGCCTCATGTTATGTAAGGCTGTCTTTTCTGTCTTAGGTCCGACCGTGCTACACGTTATCACCCACCTCGGGGACAGCGTTCACGGAGGAAGCCCTGGTACGGGGAATGTAGCGTGCACTGAAGGATCCCTCGCAGGGGGATCGCTTCGTAGCACAGAAGAAGGAAAAAATCACCATGTACATAATTGTTTGACGCTCCGCGCGGATTTCGTGGATCTGCGCTGGACCCACCCCCGTGGCGCGCGGAGCCCTCCAGGGTCGGCGCCGGAGGCGCCGCTGGGGGGCCCAGCGCGGATCCGAGAAATCCGCGCGGAGCGCCAAAAGTTTTTGTGTATGCCGTTTTCTTCTTCGAGTAGAAGGCCGCTCCCATCGCCTGGTCCCTTTTGGCACGCCGCCGTTTGCCACGAAGTCCCAGCGCCCTGCCTGCCCTTCAGATCGCGCGCGGCCCGGAGGCCCTCGCGCAGGCGGAGGTGTTTGGCGCTGGGGCGGTGCCCGATCAGCTGCTCGTCAACGAGTACGCCCCTGGTCAGGGCATCGACCCACACCAGGACTCCTCCCTGCCCTCCTCTCCCTTTCCCCTCGTCTCCCTCCTCCCCCCTCTCCCTCCTCCCCCCTCTCCCTCCTCCCCCCTCTCCCTCCTCCCCCCTCTCCCATAGCATCCGTCTCAACGATCGGCGGCGAGCGAGGGGAGGAAGTGAGAAGGAGAATGCCTTCTCAGAATGCTCGGAAGTCCCCCAGCCTTCTGAGAAATTTTCTAAGACTTCCCCGAAGATAGAACAAAGCTTTCAGAAGGCGCGAGGGCTTCTGAGAAGTCCCGCCGTCTTCTGAGTAGGCCTGCTCCTTGTCACTTCCCCCCCTCGCTCGCCGCCGAAACGAGCTCCGGTTTGCGAGCCTGTTCTCTCATTCCCCCTGACCAGCTCTCAGGAGGTGTGGGATTCTTGGGCCTCGGTTTTCAGGATCGAGTCTGCGACCTGGGGGGGGCGCTGCTGGGCCCATGCCTGTCGCCAGAGAAAGCCTGACAGGGATCAGCTGGCAGATGTCGGACTTCTCCGCGCTGTTCGACGACGAGGGAGTCGAGCTTCCCTTGTCGGCCCTTTCCCGCCCTAGTTCGCAGGTTCCTTCGCGAGGCGGCTCTTCGGCAGAATGGGACATTGTTGCCGAGCTGTGGCTTCTTGGGCGGGCCTGCTTTGGCATGGTGCGCTCATGTCTTTTCCAGTCAGTGGTGTACAGCCATGGGGCAGGGAACTATCAGGCCTGAGTCTTCGGGGGCTGCCTGAACCCGAGCTCATGCCCTCATTGGAGATTGCGTTTTTGTCTAGACTGCGTGAGTTATGCGGATGCGTTCGGGATGCCATAATCCTGCCCCTGCGCTATCCGATTCCAACGATCCACGGCGGGAACTGATTCGGGATGAGTTTATGTGCATGGCCCACCCAGCTGTCAATCGCCCACCCCCACTAGCTGAAGGCGCTGGGGAGGTTGACTGGAACGCGGCCCGCCGGCTGCTGGATACCTTGCCTCATCAATGCTTGTTTGAACTGAGCTTCAGGCGTGTGGTGGCATTCGCATCTCGACGACGCTGGCTGTTGAAGTACAGTGGAGACCCATGCCAAGAAACACCTTGCTTGCCTCCAGGGTGCCCTGGGGTTCGATGGTTTTGCGATGGAGATCGTCACTTTCCCACACCAAAAATCAATGAACGTCCTGGGGTCTCAGGGTTGGGTTTCTTGTGGAAGGTTTCTTGTTGTTTGGCTCCTCTGTATGCTGTCCGCATCCATTTTCTCCCTCGGAAAAGGGGAGACGGCCCGCTTGCTGCGCGGAGCAACGTTTCTCCCCGTGGGCCTTGTGGGAGGAGCCCCTTCAAAGGCATGATCCTGGGCGAATTTTCACTCGCCGCTGCCCCGCAGAAACACTTATAAACACGCCCGCGAGGTTCGCAAGCAGGCCAGCGTGGGACGGACTGTGGAGGGCGAACTTATCACTGAAACAGAGCGCGGATTGAGGAGAGAAGTTTCGTGGGGTGGCTAGATGCTAGATGTCGCCTGGAAGAACGCAGGGTACTTTGGTAGAAAAGCCACTGAGGCTGAGCTTGTCGTCGTTTTCTTCTTCACTGTCTTACCGATCGGCGCGGGCCCTCGCACCCCCCGTCCCCCCCCTGGAGTAGATCCTGGCTGTTTTTGGCGCTTGTTTCGAGCAGGCGGAGTCCCTCCCCCATGGGACGCACTGCTGCAAACAGTGGCATGAATCAGAAGTCCGGCGCCAAACCCCCCTTTCCCTGCCCTTCCGCCTAATGTCGAAACGCCGAAAAAGAAAACGCTCACAATTTCTCGTTCGCCAAAAGGAGGACATGATGGCGAGGGGGCGCATGCGTGCCAGTGGAGGACGAAATTATCAGTGAAACATAAGATTGAAAAGAGAAGTTTCTGGGATGGCTAGAGACTCGATTGGAAAAGCGGAGGTAGTTTTGCTTGTGGACGCCCTCCGGCACGGGTTTTGCGACCGCCGACGGGTGGCTTCCACCCCACATGCGAGTGACGGCTGGCAGCGACGCGCACTGACGTTCACGACGTGTGTCAGTTGGCGGCGACTTTCGTCTCGCCTTCAGCTTGCTTCTTCGCTTCGCGTATGGCGAGCATCTGCACGACGGCTGTCTTGACTCTTCATCCTGGGCCCGACTGTCCAATTCACCCACCATGTTGGTGTGCATCGAGGTCTTGGTCCTCCTCGGCCTGGGGGACTTGCTGGGTTTCTCCAGTTCCGCCGCCTGAGCGACTGCGTAGCGCGCCCCGGTCGTTGCGGCTCCCCTTTTAGGCCGTAATTTTGATCGGGGCGCTGTTGCTTCGCTTCTTGACGGGGCGCAGTTGCTCTGCGTCGCTCGCGAACAAAAAAATACCCCCGCCAGCCTTCGACCAGGTCTCTGGCTCCGTGTTCTCGCTGGGCTTTCCCCTGTGGTCGTCTTCGCTCGCACGGTCTTTTCCTCGTTTCACCTCTGGCCCACGCACGGGAATCGCAAGGTGTCAACGTACGGCCTTTTGAAGTCCTACCTGTACGACAAGGCTTCCCTTCGGTTCGGGCACTTGCCTGGCTCTCACCTGCGTGCGTCTTCACTTGCGCGCTCCGCTCGTGCCGACATGCTCTGCTGGTTCGCGCTCAAGGGTTCTCGCTTTCGGTTTATGGCCATGTGAAGTTTTATGTGTACGGCAAACTTATTCGGGCGCTCGGTCTCGGCCAAGGGGTTTCTCTTCATGGTGCACCTCGTCTGCCACATGGCCGCCTTCTCGCGCCATTTTGGTTGCGTCTACCTCTGGCGCGCGGCGTGCCTGTCCGCCACCATTATGCCGTCGTTTCCTGCGTCCTCTTCGTATTCGTCCTGCACTTCCCGGTCGCCACGCTGGCTGCGCCTACGTGGTCCTCGTCTTCGGCACGCTCTTCTGTCTGCTCGCCTGGCCGGTGCCGCGGCGCGCGTGCCTGCGCTGCTTTTCCCTGTCGCTAACGGCGCGGCCCGCCGTGGCACGCTCGGCGCTCGACTTGCTTCGCGCGCCCGCGAACCAAAAAGTACCCCCACAAACCCATCCAGAAACGATGCCCATGAGAGTTGACGGGGGGAGAGAGGAAGAGACACGCATTGTCAAACAGCAAGGGAGGTTTGGGAGGCTCCGTGGCCATCTCGAGCCGTCTTTGAGCGGTCTTGGGGCCGTTTGGAGCATATCGGGATCCATACTAAGCCAGCTTGGGCTATCTGAGCAATCTTTGAGGTCATCTTGGGTTCTCTGAGGCCTTTCGGGGGCCTCTTGGGGGCCTTTTTTTCGGATGCCTTTTGGAGGCCTCTTGGCGCTTCCTGGGGCGGTCTTTGGGCCCGCTCGGGAGCCCCTTGGGAACCCTGGAGGGCCTCTTGGGGCCATCTTGAAGGTGCTCGGCCAAAAGATGGGGAATATTCGATGTCCGCCACCCTTCTGGGGCCACGATGCCCGGGAGGGGTGGCAAACATTAGCCCTTTCAAGGGCCGAGAAAAAAAACCCTCTAACACTTCGCGGCCCCCCAGAAACAATTTCAGGGAGGGGAGGGGGGGGCCCTCCCCGAAGGGGAAGATTGAAGAGGAAAGGGACCCTCCTTAGACCACCTGTCGGCAAAAGGGCCGGTGAGATTCATTCATGTTCGGTACGTTTTTGACGGATTTGGGCGTCTCGGCGGCTTCCTGGGGAGGCCCCGTGGCCATCTCGAGCCGTCATGTAGCGGTTTTGGGGCCTCTTGGGACATTTTGGGGCCATGGCGGGCAAACCTGGACTATACTGGGCCATTTTGGAGGTCATCTTGGGCTCTCTGAGCCACCTTAGGGGGCCATTCGAGGGTCTTGGGGGCCTCTTGGGGCAGTCGTGGGACCCTTTTGGGGGCCTCCGGGGAGCCCTGGAGGGGCTCTTGGGGCCATCTTGACGGCGGTTGGTCAGAAGAAGGGAGGTACTCGATTTAGGTTCCCCACGATCCTCGCGAGGGGTGGCAACAAATGGCCTTCCCAATGGTCGAAGAAGGAACTTCCGACACCTCGCGATCCCTCAACAAAAAACCTCAGGGAGGGGAGGGAGAGGGTTCCCGTTCCCCTCCCCGAAGGGAAGAGGGGTCGTGGAAGAGGAAAGAAACCCTCCTTAGACCACTGTCGCTCAAAAGGGCTGGTGGCGTTTTTGGTAGCAAAGCCACGAAGGCTGAGCTTCTCGCTCGCGAAGAGGAAGACAAGGTGGCGAGGGGGCGCGTGAGGTCTCTCCTGTGTCGGGCCGCTCTCCCTCTCTGGCGCCTCAAGTCGGCGCGTGTTGTTCGGGCTGTTTGGGGGGCCGCCGTGTGTTCGGCAGGTCCTGCAGCAGTGGCCGCTGGCTGTGCCAGCGCTAGGCCTTGGGATGGCGGGGGCAGGCTGTGGAATGAAGTTCTTTCCTTTCGTTTCGTTTTCCTGTTCGTTTCCTTCGCTGAATGGCGGCATCGTTTCGTTTTCGTTTTCGCTGTGCACTTGTATCATTTGAAATTATCGTTTTCAAGTTTCGGGATTTGTTTTGCTTGTCGTTCTAAACGCAAGCGCGTTTGAACATCGTTGTGGTCGGTCCTTGGAAAGAAGCAGACGGAAAAGTGGAGACGTCTGTGGGATGGGCGCAGCGGGTGCCCTCAGAGGCATTGCGAACGATGCACGACCACGGGATACTTGAGCATGGGATGTTGGGCGGCAGTCCTGGCAGCGGCAGCGGGGTCTGCATTATCTTGGGGGTATTTGAATTTTTTCGTCGAAAATCCCCTTGTAGGGGGACACGCCCGACCTAAAGCCAGGGCCGAGGGGGCGCCTCACAGGCAGCCGGGCGGCCGTCCAGGTCGGGGCGGGCTGGCGGCGCACTGGGCCGACGCACTGTTGTCTTGGCTGCGGAGCCCCGAGGGTGTGCTGCCACGCGCGCGCCGCGCTGCAGGTGCTTAGCGTTGTCTTTTCGCAGGCCCAGAGGTTGACACCAACACCAAGATCGGCGGTGCGCCTCCACCGAGGGAAACCGATCCCGATCTCGGTGATGGTGGTAATAATCTGGCTTCCAAGGTGGCCGAAATATTGCCACCACCACCGCAATCTAGGATCACCTGCCCCCTGTGGAGGCAACCCCCTGGGCTAGTGTTGGTGCCAAATTCCAGGCCTCCAATCTTTGGCCCCCGTGCGAAGTGGTGGGCTGCGCGCAGGCTCGATGCCAAGTTGGTGCGCTTCTTCTCCCGCTCTACGCACATGGAGATATCAAATATATACCTGAGCCTGCTGCCTCGTCCTGCGAGCAGAACTGCCGAGGGCCATGTGTGGTTTCCCATATGGAGGCATCTGGCGCCGCGACCAATGCCTCCAGATCAGGCGTCAGCGCGCGGGCGTCGAGACCGCCATCGGAAGACGCCGTTGGTTTGGAAGCGCCCGCAGTGCAGAGGATGTAGTGAGTTTTGGCCACAATTCGCGCAACGACGGAGTTGTACTTGTAGTCTGCGTGAGATGCATGAGTTGCGCGTCTCACGGATTTGTTTGTGGTATCATCTGTAAGGAGACCCTCGTCCTGGAAAGTTCGGGGCCCAGGTGCGGCAGCAAATTGCCAATAGCTGGCGCCCAAAGCGCAAAGAGCTTACAGTCGTCCTGGATCGGTCGCTCTCGGATCTTCATCCTGTTTTCTTTAATTCTAGAGCCTGTGCAGCGCAGCTGCCAGACCCCCACTTGGAGGAAATCACAAGGTGGTTCGGGATAGTCATGCCCAGCAGGCACTAAGCATGACAAAATATATGTTCTAGGTTGAACAGAAACATTGCTGTTGTGTTGGCTCTGGTGTTTTTGTCCGCGCTTACAAGAAGGGTTGCACTACATGGGGCGGACTGATGTTTGTCACACGCAAGAGTGTCGCATGCATTCGAACCAGTTGCAGCTAGCGTCTGCGTTCGTTGTTAAAACAATTGAAAACAACTGCGGATATCAATACGCTGAGGACTGACGCGAGGGCGAGAGGGAATGGGGAAAGGAAGAGGAGGAAGAATATGAGGCTAAGGGGAGATGCGGTGATTGTACGAGGATGACGAGGAATAGGATGGCGAGGACATTCTGAATGATGTCGGGCCGAGCTTCTCGTCTAGCATGCCACAAGCCGCCAACAAGTGGTACCGACGTGTACGATGTAGTGGGTGTGTTGATAGAGGAGTACGTATTAAAGTGATCCCATGGAAAAATGCAAAACAAAGCAAGGCAACGCAATGAAAACCAACGCAGAACAATGCAACGCAATGTAAATCAATGCAACGCAAAGCAATGCCAAGCAATACAAAGCAACGCAATGCAAAGCAAAGCAAAGCAATGCGACAGACAACGCAAAGCAATGCAGACGAATGCAAGGCAATGCGAAGTAATGGCTGCTGGCTGCTGGCCGAAAGGGGGCCGTGGACACTGGTACCGGATGAATCCACAGACTAGGTTACGTATTGCGGCGAATCCAGAAAGCTGCGCACATTTCTGAAGACCATGCGTTCTGAAGAGCGCAACAACAGCTGAGAAGCCCCCCCCGTTCTGGGATCGCGCAGGACAACCCAGATGACATCCAAATCTGGTAGGCCCTACAGGCACCCATGCGCCCCTACGCCGGAAACCTCTGGCCTTTCATCGCAGAGACCACCCGATGGGTAGTCTGCGATGTGTCCGTGCGCCATACCACTCCACCGTCGTCTGAACGCTTTCCAAGAGGAGCCCAACTCTGCCAGGTCCTCCAGATGTGGAGACCACCACAAATCCCCGCAACCTTCGGGAGGTTTCCAAGCATTTGACCGTTCCTTTGGGAAGGCAGCTCTGCAGCTCCCTCGCGGATCCCAGAGCCTCCTTGCGATTTTGAACGCATCCTGGAAAGCGCCTCAGGAAGGCCCCGCAGCGCCTCGCCCTCCCTGCCGCCTTCCCCTTTGCCGCCGCCGCCGCCGCCGCCCCCCGACCCCTGATGGTTAGCTCAGTCAGCTTCTCTTCCCCCTCCTTTCCTTTATCCACGCCTCCCCCTCCAGCTTCCCCCCAGCAGTGCCGCGTGCAGCCCCTAGTGGGTTCCTGGATCGTCCCCACGAGCAGCATTCCTGAACCACCAACCAAAACACAAAATAACGCCGGGTATTTTGATGGGACCGGTCGCTCTTGAAGGTGGGTTTTATCTTCGCGGAGGAAGGAGTTCCCCTCCTTCCCCTTCGTCTCCGTTCCCTTTCCACCAGGGCATCCACCCACGCCAGGACGACTCCTGGTCCTCGTCCTCTTCCTTCCCCCTCTCTGTTTTTTTGTTGGGAGTTCCAGGTCCGTTATGGCACGCGTCTGCGGATAGATGAAACATCAGCGCGATCGGACGGGATGGGTGGGAAGGGTGGGATGTCAGATACGGCGCGAGCTCGCCTAGTTTGCCACTGGCCTCGCCTCCCTCTCCTCCCTCCATCATGGCACCGACCCACGCCAGTACGACTCCCAGTCCTCGTCCTATTCCTTCCCCGTGTCTTCCCCTCCCTCCACCTTCCCCTTCCTTCCTCCTTCCCCTTTCCTTTTCCCTTCCTTCCTCATTCACCTTCCTTCACCTTCCCCTCGTCCTTCTCCTTCACCTTCCCCTCCTTCCCCTTCCTCCTTCCGGCTCCGCCGCCCCTTCGCCTTCCCCTTCCTTCCTCCTTCCCCTTCCCTTCACCTCTCGCCCCGCCGCCCCCGCTCCTCCTCTCTGCCCCCACCCCCCCGCCCCGTGGCGCAAGGACGGGCCACTGTACGAGCCCATGGCGGCGATAGGTTTCCTTTTCGCGGTTTACGGCCGAGGGGGGAAAGAGGGGGGAGGCGGCTTTCTTCTTCATTTTCCTCCTCCTCCTCCTCTTTCTCCTCCTCCTCCTCCTCCTCATTTTCCTCCTCCTCGTCCTCCTCCTCCTCCTCCGCCTCATAGTCATTGTCATCATCATCCGCCCTCCTCTTCCTCGTCCTCCTCCTCGTCCTCTTATTCATCTACCTCCCTCTCCCCCCCACCTCCTATTGGACTGGCCTCTTCGGAAGCATCTGAGGCTGGGGGTGGTGAGATCGAACTGAAACGGAGTCCCCCAACCAGGAGAATCGGTTTCGATTTCGGTGCGCGTTGTGCGTGAGGCGTGCGCGGGCGAGGCGAAGCTGCGCGATTCCTGCACCAGCTAAGCCCAGCTCGCGCCAAAATGAGTCGGGTCCCCGTGAGCCGGGGTGTGATCGGGGGTGTCCCATGATTGTCCCGTGGTTGGTTAGGGTACTCTATGGTTTTCTCGTGGTTTTCCAGTGGTCGCCCCCTCTAGAGATGAGCAACGAAGCTGACACGCACTTGTAATATACACACAAACACATACATACACACACGTAATGTATGGATTTCCTTGCGGATGATAAGGATGTTGGGAAGCGGCATCATACTTGTTTTATTTGACGGACAAATCGACTCACGAATCAAGTGTAATGTGGATGCAGATTTGTGTGTTTATCTTGTTCTCTCTCTCTCTCTCCCAATGTGTGTGTGTCTACACTTGTGCATCCATCATCTACTGTTCGACGACCATGTTGCGAGTTTTACATATTTGTATATATGTTTGTAGTCAGATATGCATGCGTACGTGCATGCATGCATGCATACACTCATACATACATGCATGCAAGCATACATACATACTTACACATGCATGCACATACACATACATACATATATACATACGTGTGTGGTTATCAATGCATGCACACATACATACATACATACATACATACATACATACATACATACATACATACATACATACATACATGCATACATGCATACATGCATACATACATACATGCATGCATGCATGCATGCATGCATGCATGCATACATGCATGCATGCATACATGCATACGTGCATACACGCATACATTCATACACGCATACATGCATACGTGCATACATGCATACATGCATGCATACATGCATACGTGCATACAGAGACAGACAGACAGACAGACAGACAGACAGACAGACAGACAGACAGACAGACAGACAGACAGACAGACAGACAGACAGACAGACAGACAGACATACACACATACATGCATGTATGCATACATACATACAAACAAACATACATGTGTGCATACATCACGCACGTACATCATGCATGCATGTATATACGTATACATACATACCTGCATCCATACACACACATACATACAATCATACATACCTTCAAACATACATACGTGCATGCATGCATACATAGTTGCATACACACCTGAATACACACATACATGTATCTAACCATGCATGCATGCATAGATATCTAAACTTGCCTCCCTACCCATCGAACTACTTGTATACCCACGTTTACAGATGTCATCCCATGTCCCGAAGCCGATGCCCTGGCCTGGGGACACCCCCGACCTCCGAGGCAGACGGCAGGGGACAGCAGGAGGAAGTGAGGACGGGCCGCGTTGGCGGCTGGCGGGCGCAGGCGAGGAGGAGACGCGAGCACGAGTAGCGTGGTTCGGTAGCAAATCATGGGAGCCTCGTGTACCCTCGCAAGTCTGCCTTTTGCGTCGACTACCGTCGATCAGTGTCCGGGAGTCGATGAGATAGCGCCGATTTAGCGTCGGCTAGCGTCGATTTAGCGTCGACTAGCGTCGATCAGCGTCGATCCGCAAGAGTCGACAAGATGGTTTGGGAGGCTCTCATGAGTTGCCACCGAAGCGTGGGCGGCAAAGCACTGGCTTGTAGTGTCGCTCGGGGGCCCTGCGCTCTTGGATTTCTTCGCGCGCGACAACCTGGCCGACGACGCACCGTGCGACACGGCGGCGCTGACGGTGAGCGGCGGGATCCGTGTGCGGCGGGTCGCTGCCGCGCAAAGTCCCATGGCGACAGGGAGGAGATGCTCATAAGGATGGAATGGAGGAGTTTGAGGAGGATAAAGAGGAGGAAGATAAAGAGGAGGAGGAGGAAGAGGAGGAGGAGGAAGATGAGTGGGAGGGGGGAATGCTGAGGAAGAGGAGGAGGCGGCGGAAGAGGAGGAGGAAGGGGAGGAGGACAAGTGTAAACCCAAGATCCATCAACGATACTGCAGGAATACCTTCCTTCCAAGCTCCTACACAGGCCCATACACATATTCATTTTCTTTTCGCTGGGGGAAGTCCCCGTTGGAAGACAACCGTTTGAAAGTCCGGAATTGCACCAAAATGCCATGCCTGGGTCGCTAACGCCGCGAATCACCATTGCTGCGTGTTGCTTGGTATCGCTCGGACGTGTGCATTTTTTCTCGGCGGGGATTATTAAGGAGCATCCTGGATCATCCTGCGAACACACCACGCACAATGCCGAAAAAAACATGGAATGGGCGTCCGAGCGATGGCGAGATTGACGATTTGGAATCGTGCCAGAACGCCATTCCTGGGACTTCAACACCGTGACTCAACGTTACTGTTGCGCCTAGACATCTTGACATCGTGCCAAAACACCATTCTGGGACGTTAGCCATGAAACTTTTTGAAACTGCTGCAAACTCTTAAGACGAATGTGCGCGGCGCTACGGCGAGAGCCACATTTTGTAAAGGAACCGCCATCCATGTGTGAAACCCTTCAATTCTTCATGATTAATGTGCGTAGCGCTAAGGCGAGAACCACACTTCGAAACCGGGCCGCCCTCCATCCGTGAAGCCCTTGTAACTTTCAAGCTTCAGTGAAATTAGTGGCGACAGGCGAAACGCCCGGCCCGCCCTTTCCACCGGCCTCGGGCGCGATTGGGAGGGAGACAGAGGAGGAGACGGAGGAGGAGACGGAGGAGGAGGAAGAGGAGGAGGAGGAGGAGGGCGGAGGAGGAGGAGGAGGAGGAGGAGG